GGTTGGGGGGGGGGGAGCTTACATCTATTATTTTTAGAAAAAGCTCCACCAAATATGCTCATTCTTCAACTTGATCACTTCTGTCAATAACAACAATAACATACCCAGTATAGTTCCACAACTTGATTGGCTTTGTCAAATAGAGATATATCTGTTTTCATTCCATACTTAAGGATCCAAATGAATCATAAGGAAAAAACAGCAAGTAAGAAATTGAATTATCTTTCGTGAACTGTTTAAATAACAAAATTTACTGAAGTAGTTCTTGCATATAGATCAAGTATTGACCATAATTTTCCACTGAGTTGCAGAGACTCGCACACAAAGGGAGAATCGTGTTCATCCATGTTATTACGGACATACAGGCAAACAAAGTTGTGAACTTTCAGTATGCTTTTGTGTCATTAATTTTTAAATACACTTCTTCTTGTTCTTTTAGTAATCTTGACCAAAGAGCTGCTTTAATTCTGAAAGCTTTTCATTCATTGAAAAATATCTATATTTTTAATAAATAGAGGTATCAATATCTCAAATAATAAGATAATTCTTGTATTCGTGATGTGGTTTTTGAATTATGTGATTTTGAGTTAAACCACTAGTTCTAAACTTTTTAATATAGGTTAATTCTCTTGAAAAAATAATTGAGATGACACAGGAGGTCGGGGTATAAAACTCAAAGAATTGTTAACATGACAAACTACCAGCAAGACAATTAAGGAACATAATAACAAAAGAGCTATGAGCATAATGAGAGTATAATTCTCTCCCGAACTCCCAATAAACTTGATTTATCTAGAACAAACACAAAAACAAAGAAAAATCCACAAACATAGTAACTCAAGATTATCCCAAGATAGAGTAAGGTAACAAAAAATGCATAATGATGACTCGAGAACTATAAATAAGAGAGAACAAAGAACTCTGACCTGCATATTTCAGTAAATATTTCGTCAGGTATAACAAAACTGAAGGCCAAAAGGAGTCATTAAGATTATTTGCTAAGGAGACCTACGACTGGGAGGGTTCTCTATTGGTTAACCCGTTGTACTAATGTTTAGATTGCAAATGGATTATCTTACATGTACAATCTAAGACAAATTTAGGCGACGAATATGACATAAGCTCAAGTATAATCTAGTTGCTAAATATAGATAAGAAGATAAAATAAATTGGATAGTAGAATAATCACTTACCTTTATTTGTCCATAATGTGCACGATAACTTGGATATTGAGTAGGTTAGCAGCAACCTAGTATCTCACGGACCGAATTGCAAGCAGTGCTAAATTTACATGTGACACAGATTGCAACTAACTATTGATATCCTCACGGATGGTTTATTGGAGACCAAAAAAAAGGCATCAGCAGTAAAAAAAAATAGACTTGAAAGTTATATACTCTCACTTTGAGCTATTTTAGTAATCAAACCTGATAAAACCTGAAACCTTAGGATAGTCGTCTTGAAACTTGAACATTACATATGTAGCTATGTTTCTGTCAAGCTAACTGCATGGGCACAAGGGAACTTTCCTCAAAAGCCTAGAATACACCAACCTGACCAATAGTGACAATAATAGAATTCCTCTTGAGCTCCTTAAGAAGTTGGACGTGGAATTTAGGAGAAAAAAAAAGAAAAGTGAAACTTAGAGGACGATGATCCATAAAGCTCCAAATTTCATAACAAAGTTTGATGACTCAATGAATGGCTAATATTGTCTTAAATTGAAATAAACTTAGGGATAAACAATAATCATGAATAAAGAAAGCTTACAAAATAGTTGTATGTTTTCTTCTTCACAGCAGACTGTAAATTACCAAGATCTTTTTGAGTTTTGTCGTGAAGCCAATTTCAATTTTACTTTGAGAATTGCGACCCCATTTTCCATATGCAGGGGTATATCTTTACAAAACAATAGTTATAATCAAGGTAAATAGCTTAGTCTTTTAAAATGTTTAGAAGAATTAGTCATTTCCCCTTCAATTGAGGCTAACATACGATATTATTCTTAGGCTGACAAATTTACTTCAAAAGAAGACATGATTTAGTTAGTAGTTTAGAGAGCTTTGTGTTGGATTCTATAATTAACACTGAAACAACATGCTTTTTTTTAAAAAAAAAAGTAGTGAAGCAATATATTTGAAACCTCTCTAGGTAAATAAAAATTATATTCCTAGTGAAATAAAATTCACACGACATCCAACTGAATGACATTTGGGATGATAAAAAAATAACTACATTCTTACATTAGCTAGATTGTAATTATGTCTGAAAGAATTTAACAAATCATACAAAATCCTTACATTAGCTGGGGTAATTATGTGTGAAAGAAGAGAACTGATATTTACTCAATATCACCATATAACATGTAAAGTACCTACCATATCCAACTGAGTTTTTTCTATTCGGAATTTTCCAATTCCTTCCCCATTCACCTACTTTAAACATAGAGGCACAAGTAGTTGTTTGTGTAGTTGCGGAAGCATGTCCTCCGAAATGGTGGAAGATAAAGTAATGTAAACGATAGTAAATCAATTTATGTATGCAGGTATACCTATATATACACAGAAGCAACATTATATGGAAATTTAACTTTTCTGACCGTTGTCTCTAGTTAACGAAGGATCAGAAGTTGGAAGCGCACTTTGATATTCGTCATGACCCTGAACTTGTGATGAGGACAGTGTATTATTTGAATTCTGCAAGAGTCGCCCTTTTTTTTTATTCAGCTGTTTTAGCTTTCTGTTGCGATAGAAATAGTTGGTTTCTTTCTGGTGATATTTGTGCATATCTAGTACGACATAGCATATTTGTATGTGCAAGTTGTTGTTCCTTCGTGTTTTCAAGTTCAGGAGCGCATCAACATTGTTTTTCAACTTGTAACACCACAAAAAGAGGAAGCAAGTTCCAATAAAGTCGACAGAAATCCTATAATACCAACAGGTTTTTCGTTCATTTTTTCTGTTTCAAGAAATCACCAAAGAACAATTGAAACAACAGGTGCATTGCTCTATTTTCATAAATATACATATATGAAACAATAGTATCTCATTTAGTTAACAAATCTCGAAGTATTCATGGAAGTGTAATAAGCTTATTGCAAAACATGTCATGTTCCTTCATCTGACACAACAATAGGAATGGAGAATAGTAAAATTTCAGAACTTTTATCAATGAGTCACAACAAAAAAACTTCACCTTTACTTATTCGATGATACCTTCTTCATTCTATGGAGGTGTGTCATGATGTCGTTTCAAATTTCCACTTTCACGTATGACGTAGAACTCCAGGATCAATTAAAATTTCAGAACTTGGTGCTCGAAATTTAAATGGATATTTCATCTCTAATAAAATATAAGAACAGAGAAATTATACTACTCTCTAGAATCCAGAACCAAGAGTATTTTGTAAATGCAGCAAAGGGGAAGATACATTGAAGGAAGAAGATTAATAAAAGGGAAGAACCAGTAAGGAAAACAATAGTATTATTTTGTTCTTTCAACTATATTATCAAAAACTATTGGCCTATCAGTATGACAATTATGAACTTAATAAACAAGTCAATAGAATATCCAAAAAGAAACTATAATTCAAAATAAACATTGGACTGTGCATTTATGAGCAGTGAAAAATATTACAATTTTGAAAGTCAAAACAAGTACATAGACATATGAATTTCTCCTTTAACATGATGCAATTAGGCAATGAAAAACGCATAAAAATTTGTATAACATGCGTATAAGAAGAAATTCTTGTCATAAAACATCAACTTCTAAAAATTAGCTACTAAATAATAAAGCAAGCTTTTAGAATCAAAACTAATAATCAAAATAGCATATTTGCACGCCACACACATGTTAAACAAAAACCATAATAAAATTTTGAAAATTGAAAGCAGAGAAGCGCAAATACAAAAGATTTTGAAAGCTGCTCCGAATTAAAGTAAATGCTCTAAGTTTGGAACTTCTCAAAATGGAAAAAGGGGAAACAGGAAGAAATTTACAGTATACCAGTTGAGAGGTCTTTGCTAATATGTGATAAAATATTTATTTTCGTTGTACCTCTTTTAATTGGATTCGTCACTGCCAAATTGAGATGGGTCTACAGTCTTGTGCATAGGAGATGAAGAACTGGATTCAACATAGGAATTTTGTCCATGCAACATACCTACAACCACATACCAACAAAGCAGCAAAAACTGAAAGCAATATCAAAACAATCGAACATAAAATCAAACAAACAGAACCCAAAATCCCCAAAAAAAAAACCAAAGCTTACGGCGTCCAGTAGATCCCAGTGTTATGGTAGTGTAACAAAGTTTAACCAAAATTCGTGGAGGAAGATGATGTGAAAGCAAAGAAAAAAAATAAGAGACCAAGAAACCAAAGTGAAAGAGGAAAATAGGACAGAAAGCCGGAGAAGAGAAAAAGGGAAGCTTAGCAGGAAGAAGAGAGATTGCAGAGTAGAAAGAACTTTGAAAGCCTTCGGTATTCTCGTCGTTGGCAGGGAAAAAGAAGCCTATACACGTGCTAAACAAATAGGCCCACAAAAGATAAAAGTACTCAATAGCCAATGAAATAGGTACACATTTCTAGTACAACTCATATTACTTTGTGTACAATACTTAGCTGCAGTGTTCGTCCTAGTTGGTGTACAATTAGTACTACCTTTAGTACAATGAAAAGATGCGGTGTTGGTCCTTTTGAAGTCCCATTTCTAAATAAGGGTAATATATATATAATATAATAGGAATTAATTTTATTCCACGTGATGAAAAAAAGTAAAAAGTCATCCAATTTGATCACGGTACTTTCTTAACATGAGAAAATAAAATAATGTAGAATCTTGAGCAACTGGACAAGCCGCTAAAGTCGCTGACGTAGTTAAATCATGCTAATAAAATGAGTCTTATAGAAAGTCCATCTATTCCTAATTTTTGGTGAAAATAAAAAAAATCGATTCATTTATAATCATGAATCTCTTTATCTCTCATTCTATATATATATATATATATATATGAAAAGTAACACTCCTATATTAACATCTCAAACATATAAAAATCATCATTTGAAAATATAATGAGCCGAAGGATCATCGAAAATAATCTAAAAACTACTTACACATGTCCTCTTTTTGGAATTTATGTTTTTCTATTTTTTTGAAAATATCATAAGTCAATAATCTATAGAAAACAACTTAAACTTTTTCAAAATAGAAATAAAAATAGTATATATACACCCCCTTCTCAAATGTATCACTGATGAGATTTATCTTTAGTGTATCTTTTGAAAATATCTAGAAAGTCTGCTTTTGACTTTGAAACTAGAGAAATTGATAGTAACACATTTTATTAGCTAGCCTTATAATGACTTTCATAGTGTGGAAAATTGAAACCACCCAAACTTTTTTGACAAATTGAATTTAAGGATAATGTTGTATATGTGCCTTAAATATTAGTACTACTAAGATTTTTCTACTATTTCTATTGTACAAGTAACTTTAAAAATAAGATAATTTAGTTACTATAATAGGTAAAAGTGTTAACTTGACGATGTAAAGAGAAGGTCAATTTAAAAATAGTTAACTGTATTTAAGGAGTTAATTTACAAAAATTAAATAAAGTATTACGTCAGTTTTCTAGAGAAGTTTCATTGTTATATATAGGGATAAGGTTTTCAAAAATACCCCAACTTTGGTCGGATTTGCTGTTGCGATACTAAATTTTCATGAGGACCTATTACCTCCCTAGACTATTTAATACCGTATTTTAAACATTTATATTTGCCCACATGGACATAAAAAATAATGCAAAATTATAAATTGTAATGTGTCCACGTGAGCACATATATACCTTTAAAATACACTATTAAATAGTTCAGGGCGGTAAAAATACAGTATTAAATAGTCTAGGGAGGTAATAGGTCCTCATGAAAGTTTAGTATCGCAACACTGAACTATTTAATAGTGTATTTTAAAGGTATATATGTGCTCACGTGGACACATTACAATTTATAATTTTGCATTATTTTTTATGTCCACGTGGGCAAATATATATGTTTAAAATACGGTATTAAATAGTCTAGGGAGGTAATAGGTCCTTATGAAAGTTTAGTATCGCAACAACAAATTAAATCCTACATTTATCGTTATAAAAGTGGTGACATATATCCCTATCATTATAGAAGATCGTTCCAAAAAACGGCTCACATATATCCTTTTCATCTAAAGGAGGTGAAAAAATAATTTTGAATTTGTTTTTTGGATTTTTAATTTTTAAAAAGTCACGAAGGGGTGTATGATCTTTTTCACACAAATTATTTTTGACTTCTTTAATTATAATTATTTGAGTTTCTTATTCGTATTTTTTTTTCTTTCATCTTAAGTGTAGAAAATTGAGAAATAAAAAGAAAGAAGTGTCAATGGAAAAAGTAAGAAAAAAAAATTAAAGTTAATATATTTTGTGCTATATTGTAATTTTAAAACTATTTTTTACGGCTATATTTTAATTTAGTTTTTATATTTGTAAAATAAATTTTTGGTATCTATAATAAATTTTATAAGAAATTAGTGAAAAAATAATTTTGATCATCAAAATAATAAATCCAAATTAGCCGTTAAATCAAAGAAGTCAAAGAAAATAAAATAGGTGTCAGAAGGATCAAATATATTCTTACATGGATCTTTTTAAATAATAATTTAAAATTTATTTATTTTCACTTCCATTATATGTGAGCTATTTGTGAAATAGTAAGTGTATATAATATATATGAATCATTTTTATAACGAGATATATATCAACTCTAAATAACAAAGTTAACAAGTATATTAACCCTTTTCCCTTTCCATAAAGCTATACAAGACAAGAAAATTAAAAGAATTGCAATTTGCATGAATACCTTGAATTTGGAATAAAAGCAATAAAATGGAAAAAAGTAAAATGAGAACCAAAAATTAGGCATCCATTTGTACGTCGTTCATTTAATACTTTTATAATTCATAACCTCAATAAAGCCCTATCATCTTTGCATAAAACTTCAAATCTGAATGTATTCTTTACAAGCACGACATATAGTACCTATTAAATTGATTAACAACCTTTTTTTTTGGGTGGGGATGGCGGTTGGTGCGAAAAGGCGATTAATTGAATAATTTTCATCGAAAAATTATTCATTGAACATCTTTTGTTGATTATATTGTGTTTATAGAAAATGATAGTGCGAATATAAGTCAAAATTAGTTACTTCTTGAAGTTTGAGATATCGAATAATACGTTATAAATTACAATTATTTATATTTATTTCTCGAACAATCCACACATATTTCAATTGTTTAACTTGACAAAAAATTAAGTTTTGTGGCTTTATTATTATACTTTCTCCGTCCCATATTAGAAGGACATTTTCTATTTTACATGATAATTAAGAAATCATTAATAGATTGATTAACTTTACTATTTTACCCTTTGTTTATATTAATTAGTCTGTTGAAAAAAAAAATCTTAAATTTTAAAATTTTGTTTAAACTTTCAAAGGTCATATTAATTATAAGGGAAAAATAAGAAAATTTAATTAATATTATTCTGATTTAATAAGTGATTAAGTAAAATAAAATATATATTTTTAATAAAATATCCATCTAATATGCGACAGAGGGAGTAATAGGTAAAGTTTGGTTACCATAGTTGAAAGTTACCTCATGTGATGTATAATTCACCAGCCAACTTAAAGACCAGGAATCTAGATTCCCAAGTGTTATTACTATTCAGATAAGAATCATGATAATCATAAATTGGACTATTACTAGTATTAATATTGTTATAGCCTAGGTGAGAGTAAATTGAATAGTGAAGGAAAGACTATATATTATAGGGAAAAGGGCAAAAAATGTCCAACTATGCGAAAGGAACAAAAATGCCCTTCGTTTGTAGTTTGGTCCAAAAATGTCCTTCGTTTGTAGTTTGATCCAAAAATGCCCTTACCATCAATACTTTGGTCCAAAAATGCCCTTATATGTTATTTAATGGGTAAAAAATACTCATTTTACAAATAAATATATTGTTTATTTTATTTTCAACACATTTTTTTCTAATAATATTTTTTTAAAATTATCAAATGTTTATTTTACTTCAATTCAAAAAATAACATAAAAAATGAAAATATTTCTTATTTTAATAAAAAAATTATAATATTTTTTTTTATCGGTATATAAATATAAATCAATGATGGATGTATACTATGATCTTATATATATATGACATATATTATCTGTCGAAAGGGTATATGAAGTTATTCTATTTTTAAATTGATAAAATGAGATTTAAGAAGAAAAAAAATATTTCTTACATTTTTTATTTGTTAAAGTGATTTTAAAAGAAAGAAAACAAGAACATGATTTTTTAATAATATTTTAATTATGAAGAAGATGTGTTTAAAAAGGGGGAAAAAAAATATGTATTTGGAAAATGGCATTTTTGCCTCATTTAGTAACTATAGGGGCATTTCTGAACCAAAGTATTGACTGCAAGAACATTTTTGAACTAAAATATTGACGGCAAGAACATTTTTGAGCCAAACTATAAACGGAGGGCAATTTTTGTTGACACCTAATTTTGACCTTCCCCGATAATAATTAATTTCGAGCTTCTTAATTTTCAAATGATTTAAAGTAATTAATTTTAGAAATTTTGAAAAAAAATATAATAGAATAATTTGCGAGTTATTTCAAAAAAGTTTGTCACTTGTTATAATTCTTAAAGAATAATATGTCTTTTATATAATTATGTACATAATTAGTGTATTTTATAAATATTGGAAGATCGTCTCAAAAAGATTTTGTTTAATTAGATATTTGGTTAGTTTGTTTAGTTATCTAATAGTTTACAATTTTGAGTTTAATTATATTATTATCAAGTTAATTATTTTATTTCGTTAAGAATAAGAAGCTCGTTAATTAATTAACATTAAATTTATCTTATTTATTTATATTTTTAGCCACATTCTCCAAGTAAATCTGATTTGGTTAAATTCGTAATCCTAATCGGTTATAATTGCAATTCTTTTGGCCAAGTCCTCAATTTAAAACCTAGCCATTTCATTACAATTTTAACCCATTTCCCACCTTGCACCCAATTCTTTTCTTGAGACCAAACTTGGGCCTTACTCCCAAGATCAACAGCCCATTATTCTTACCTTAGCAGCAGCCCACATTCCCATTCCAATTCCCAGCCCAAATTCCATTCTAAAGAGATCCAACCCAACAATACATACAACAAATAACCCAAAACCGACCCCACATCATTCTTCTTCTCCAGCAGCTCAAGAAACCCAGAACTGGTACAGCAGAGAAAGAAGCACGATTTTCTCCCCTTTCCTCTTTCGGAATGGGACGAAAATTGCAATAAAAGGTGTCTCTCCTTAATTGGTGAAAGAAATTTGAAGTTTTGAATTTCAAATTTGGCCTTTTGAATTCGAGTTTTATCCCTTTCCCCCCAAAAAATTCGAACCCTAATTCTCTACTATAAATACCTTGTTCTTCTACAAGTTCTGGGGGATTTTTTTTTGGAGTCGAAATTTTGAGCGAAAATATAGAAAGCAACTTGAGTGGAGGTAGTTTGATAATACTCTAAAGGGAGGAAATCAACTCGTTCAGGGTCTTTGCATTTCCTTTTCTCCTCGTTGACGTTCACTACTCCGTCACGAGTTCCTTGGAACTCGAGGGAACTATTGGGATATTCTTGCCCATATTTCTTTGCCGCTGTTTGAGTCCCGGAGTTGGTGGTAAAGTCGCGGTTCTCATTGCTCGTCTAGTCTCAAATCGCTGCCCGAAAAGAGGTAAACCCCTCTTCGCTATTTGTTTTAGCTCTTAATTTCCTCTGTGATTTCGTTCATGTTCTTAACAAGAGTAATGTTGAAATTGAAATTTCAGAATGATAATTTTGACACTTATCTCTGCCTAATGAATGCTAAATCGTTTCTTTAATGTAAAGTTAGTTGTCGATTAATTCTTTATTGGTTGTGTAACGTTGCTTTTTTTCGGTTAAGACGGGATGTCGTTTCTAGTTACATGCCTAGATTTTTATTTATTTATTTATTTTTATTTTTTATTTTTTATTTTTGATTTATGTCTCTATGTTTCATCATGAGTCAACTTTCTTCTCGTTTAAGTTGAAATTTCAGATTATGGTGTGTTTCAAAGTTGTATTCGTTTGAATGTTGGTATTCATAGACAATAAGTAGAGCTTCATTTATATGATGTTGGTTCATAGGTTGATTATTATTCTTCATGTGTTTATGGTATGATCCCCGGACTTTTTTTTTAAAATCATTTGCCCCCTCTCCCCTAAAATTATAAGAAGGATGAATTAATGATAATAGCTAGTGTCTTATTTATAAGATTTAAATTTGATCTTTTATGGGCTGTTTTCAATTCGATACCGCGCCTGTTCGAACCTTGATGCCCTTGCCTGTTTGCCTTGATTTCGTATATACTTCAAAGTCTTGAGCAATCAATCTGTGAGATTTTGGAACTTATCCCTTCTCTGTTTAAAGTACTAAATCATTTTTTTTTCTTCTATTTTTATGTCTTGTGTTCTTAAAATAGCATGTTCATTTTTAGTTATAGGAAGGACTTAAGGTTGGTAAGTTTGGAAAATGTTTGCTGCCTGTGCTTTTGTCATTTGTTGTTACATATTCTCAATATAGTAGCTATAGTTAGTTGCTTCATTTATCTTATTAAATGTTTTGTGCAGTAAATCTTTCATATACTAATTTGTTCTCTTTCTTTGTTGTGAACCCATCCGAGTCCATATTGGACTAAACTTCCGCATTTCTCCGAGTTGGTTTCCTCTCGAGTCGACCCCCATCCCTGTTCGGATTTTGTTTTTTTTTGGAAGCTGAAGTACAGAGCTGATGAACAGATGCACAGATTTTTTTTTTGAAATCTCTTAAGGGGCTGCATACCTGCTGGTATACACTGGTATACAGATTTTTGTATACATGGTATACACGGAAAAAAACGGTGATATACAGGTCCAAAAAATCGAAACAGGTGTTCTGGAAGTTGAATTAGGTTGTATACATTTGGTATACAGCCTTATATACAAAAAAAATGGGCTGGATTCATACGATATACACTGATATACAACCAGTGTATATAAAAACGGGATTGAGCCTAAGCCCCCAAATTTCAGCGAATTTGGCCCAAAAGGAGGCCCAAATTCAATTTCTCCCTACTCTTTAATTATTTAATTATGATTATTTATTGTTTATTGCGTGCTGACTCTAACTTTTAAATTGTTAACTAACCTAATTAAATTCCCCAAGCGATAAGTTAATTTCTTTACATTGGCTTACCTTTAATACATTCTTATGTTTATTTTTGTTCTATCTTACTAATCAAATATATTGGCCATGTTTCATTTTAATTAAATCTTTTGTTTTTAAAAGGACATGTTTTGAATGCCTCTTCCTTTAATCATTTTGCTTATTTAAATGGTTTTAAGTTAACACTTTTCTCAAATGAACTAAAATAAAATAAAATTGTGTGTGTTCTCTTTTTATCAATTGATTTAAAATGATCTCATGCTTTAATTGGTTCAAATTATTATCTTAAAAACTCAAATGGACTACAATAAAATAAAATTGTGTGTGTTCTCTTTTTATCAATTGATTTAAAATGGTCTTATGTTTTAATTGGTTCAAATTATTATCAAATAAATTTTAACTAATCTAGTTTTATTAAAATTCCAATCGCATGTACTACAAGCCAAATGTGTCATTTGAATTCTTTTCTCTAAAAAAGAAATGTGTCGTTTATCTAATTATTTTTCCAAAATTAATTAAAAATTGTAATTTGTTTAAATATTCCTATGTTAAATTTCCCAAAATTAGTCAAATCATTTTACGTCAAATCGTCGGTCAACCGCGAGTTAGCGGGCATTCTGAGGGCCTAACACCTTCTCGGAATGTACATTGAACTTCGAACCCTTTCATTTTCAATTGATTTTATCTGTTTGAATCTTTTGAAAAACCTTATATTTTTCTTGATTTTTTACTAAAAATTAAGTGGCGACTCTGTTCTTTTGGAAATTCGATTTCTCTTAAACTATAAGTTTAATCGATTTTTCAAAAACTCAGTCATTTTCCTTTTACATATATTTTTAAAGTAAAACAATTTTGTTCCTTTCACATAGTTTAAGGGAATTTTTTTACCCTTTTGCCTATATTATATACAACTACCTATCTAATTTAGCCATTTATATAGATTGTCGGCGAATTTCAAATATCAGATGATTAAATAAATATATAACTACTTAGCAAATTTAGCTATTTATATAGATTGTAGGTAAATTTCAAATTTCAAATTTCAAATGATTAATTAAAAAGAGATTTAGACAATTTATATGAAAATAAGAGATCAAGCTAAATACAATTCACTCTCTAATAGCAAATAATATACATCATGATTCATACAAAGCGGCATAACATATGCCACTTAAATTCCTATATACATAGAAATGAAAATATCTAAGATGACAATTTTCCCCTCATTAGATCAGGGCTGATCATTTTTCTAGGGCTTGCAAATAGGGACGGAGTTAGAGGGCCGGAAAATTACAATATATGTATAACGTTAAAATTATATATAGTGGATGGTGAAAATCACGTTGGCGCTATTGTTGTGTCAATCCACTATAATGAGATCAAAATACTTTAGTAATTTTATACGTAGTCAAATCTAATCTACCTTCTACAACGAACCATTTTTTCGCTACTCCACTTCTCTTCATCTCGATATATACTTGAAATTCATTGTCTGACTTATTCAAATTCGAGGCACGTGGGATCCAAACCATCATCGAAGGCTCATAAATCATGTTAACAACATAGTAAAAGATCCTTGTACATACCACGACGGTCCATTTTTTTCGCTACTCCACTTCTCATCATCTCGATATATACTCGAAAATTATTTTTTGATTAATTCGAATTCGTGTCACGTGGGCCCACGTCATCATCTAGGGCTGCTAGTGGAAGATTTATCCAATGCAAGTATTTTATTTTGCTTTTCATTGGGCAATTTATATACACTAGGAAGAGTTGATTTCCAATTTACTCCACAAGAAGTACTTCTTGTATGCTTTGCAATTGAACTTGTATTTGCAGCTATTCTCATTTGTTCAATTAAGGCCTCAGTATTCCCTTCCTCTGAAAAAATTTCCTCTAGTTGTTGGGGATTGATGATTAACTTCACTCTCCAAACACCTATATATATGAAATAGAAAATGAAACTTTTGAGGCGCAAAAATAACTTTCCTTAAAGAGATATTGTTTGTATAATATATGGTATGTTGTCTGGACTTTTGAAATTATCAATGAATGTGTGTCGAACTCTTTATAAATAGGGTATTTTTAGAGAAATCAATACAAGTTTAACAATATTTTTGAAGAATCTGAACAACAATTATATTATTTGAGGAAATGCAATAAAGTCATTGTATACATTGATTTTTGACTGGACACAAGTACAAGAAAGAAAAAGAAAAACTAAATTTTAAAACTTCTAGTCTTAAAAATGCCATAATATTCCTGTAACTACATAGGCAACGGTAAAAGTTAGATGTTGAGAGTGTGAGTTTCATACCTAAACTATCATTTTTTTGAGATAAGTGTAAAACACACACCTAAACTATCTCTTATTTTTGAGTTTCATACCTAAACTATTGAGAGTGTGAGTTTCATACCTAAACTATCATTTTTCTGTTTGAGAAACACACATCTCTCTTTTATATCACTCACATCATGGTGTGTGTAATACATTTTCTCTTTTATTTTAAAAAATTGTCACATCACACTCCACATGGACAAAACATTCAACATTGACAAAAATTAAAAAAATTATTAGTATTAGTTAAAATTAAAAATTAAAAAATTATTATCCAAAAAATAATATTTCTTTTATAAAATAAAATGTAAAATATTT